TATCCAGATACCTGGATTCAAAAATTCACAAATCCCCACATTCACTTCTTACATAACTTTCTAATGTTTTTGTTTTAAATATCTACATTTAAATGGTGCTAAATGTAGAGCATATTAAAGTGCCTGTCCAAATATATATTGTCCCCTTCCAACCGTGAGGCCTTTATTTTTGTTGTACACTGAAAACGTTAGGTTTGACATACATAAACAAAATATGAATATGGGACGATATACGATATTATCGCGTATCGTGATGAAAACACATTTATCGTTGTTTCCATGGTGATCATCGGGAGTATTCTTGCATTGCTTGACTTGAAAAAGCGTCTCGTTCACCAGCATACAGTCTATATATTGATTTCATGATTTATTTAAAAAAAAAGGGGGGGGCATAGGTTAGCCAACATCTTTCCAGTCATTCCAAAAGCAGGGTTAAACCAAATGTATTGAAATGCAAAAAATAAACGTGTTTCTTAACAAAACGTAAGGTAAAGTGATTCCAGTATGTTTTACTGCTGTCAGAGTAAAAGTAAGAAGTATATTTTCATGATTATCGTGATAATATCGTGTATTGCAATTATTTTGGCCAAGGTAATTGTGACATTAAATGTTCATATCGTTCCATGCCTAGACAAGAGATCAGCATTTTAGCTTTTATTCGCAGGTATTAATATTTAGATCGTGAAACAGATGTTCCCTGTTGCTCAACAGACAGCATTTGTAGCTGAAAAGGTGTACCAAATATCTAGACCAGAGCAGTCTATGGCAGAAAAACAAGCAATTTTGAAGCTTAGCTGAAGGTGGAAAAATTCACACATTGCACAAACGTTGCCCATAGCCAGTACAACCGCTGGAATGTCCTGAAGAGAAAATAAGCCGCTGGTGTACTGAGCAATAGACGCCGAACCGGTAGATCTAGGAAAACATCCACAGTTGATAACAGAAACTTTGTGAGAGCCGTTAAGACAAGCTCTAAAACAACTGTCAGTGACATGTTCGACAGCCTCCCGAGGGCAGGAGTGAAGGTTTTACAATCCACCAGTTGCAGAAGACTTCGGGAACAAAAGTACAGACTAACAGAGGCTACGCAGGAGGATGTAAACCACACATCGGCAATAAGAATAGGAAGCCCAGATTGGAATTTGCTAAATTAAATATAGAGATGAGGCTCAAAAGTTCCGGGACAAAGTTTTATGGAGTGATGAGACAATGGTTAACCTTTACCAAAGTGATGGAAAGGCTAACGTGAGAAGAAAGAAATACTCTGCTCATGATCCCAAGCTCATCTGTGGATTGGGCTTGCGTGGCTGCTTCTGGGACGGGTTCATTGATCTTCATCGATGATGTAACACACGACGGCAGCAGCAGAATGAAGTCGGATCTCCGCAGAAACATTTTGTCTGCCACTTGAAGGAGCAATGCATCGAAAGTGATTGGAGGATCCTAAACCCTGTTGAGAATGCATTTCACCTGCTAAAGAGGGATTCATCTTTTAAAGTCAAACCCAAATAAAGGAACCTAATCTAATGTCTTTAGTTTACAGCAAAAATAAAGAAATTGGCCCCGCTGCTCCAGTAGTGGCAGCACACAGCTTTTCCATCAACAAATTGAATTTATACAGTGAGTAAAGATACAATAATACATCCTAACTATTTGCTCTTTCCACTGCTGTATTTTATCACATGTAGTTGTCTTAAATTAGGCTGATAATGTGAACAGACGTGTCAGTGACAGACAGTCACACTGAGGCCAAACTAAGCACATATCAAACTTCAAAGTCGACCTAATGTTTATACGGTTACAAAGAGCTTTCTGGCAGTGTAGTTGGGACTGAAAAAAAAAAAGTTTGATGCTAAAAATCAACTTAAACATAAATTAGTAATATAAGATATGAATAAAATACTCAAATCAAGTGCAAAGACCGCAAACCTGCACTTACACACTAAACCCTTTAACATGTAGGGTTAAAGAGGACTTATGATGTCGATAAAATGTTACTGCATAAAATGTTGTACACTGGTTGATGCTTCAGACAATTGTGTAATATTTCCAACACATAGCATAGAAAAGACTGTATAAGTTAGAGATTTTGAAAGCATCGTGACCTGGTGTTAAGATCCCTCCCCCCAACACACACACACACACACTGTGTCCAGTTGTAAATGTACACAGAGTTAAAGACGTATTTGTTCTCATCTCGTTTGACAGTTCGCCATCAGGTTGGCAGTCATTATCGTAGCAGGTGTGATGGTTTAAATCATGCAGCCTGGTTTGAAGCTGTCTCCTCCCTCTTATGTGTATCAGGTTCCCACTCAGCAAACCTCAACTTGCCGCCAAATGGGTGCACAGCCTGGGGATGAAAAACTTCATCCCGACTGCCAACACCTGTCTCTGCTCGGAGCATTTCCGGACGGACTGCTTCAGAGACTACAATGGCAAACAGTTTCTGAGGGAGGATGCAGTGCCCACCATATTCACCCAAGGGCATGATTCATCAAAGGTGTGGGTTCACAATATTATATAGACTATTCTTCAGTCATTCTTCACTATTCAGTCTAAACAAGTCATCCTGTTTTGCTCTGAAATGAATAGATAACTGTGAAAATTCCACAGATTGAACTTCGTAAAAGAGGGGTGGTGCCAAAGGAGACGAACGTCGCAAATCAAATAGGACCACCAGCAGACAGAGACAGAGTGAGAGAGGCCAGTCTACGCAGGGACAAAAGAGGAGGAATGAGGGTGAGTTTTCTCTCTCTCTCCCACTGTTGTCTGTACTGTGGGCAGACAATGTTGTATTTACCCTTTAAAGTATCATACCAGACAGACAATTCCTTTTTGAAGAATACCTGAAGTTTAAAGTAGTAGGTGGGGATAAAACCTGCATAAATACCTTAAGTCCTCAGCTTCCCTCATTGTCGTGATTGTCACACAAACACAACAAACTGATGTTACAGTTTAAGAAGGTAAAATTAGATTTTACATTGATCCTTTTGACTTAAAAACTGTCAAAAGTGTTTTATTTGAACTTCTTATTGACGTAATGGGAGTCTATGCAAGGCTCCAGAGAGCGGGGTCTGATTTATCAAAATGTAATAGTGAGAAATGAATGTTATTATTGTCAGAGGCATCACTGGAGCCAGTCAGAGCTGAACACTCACCAGCATCCAGTGGTTAAACTGGATCACTTGTAACAAAGTAATCTCTGTGCTGCCTTAAGAGCATTAAACCACAATTTTTCACCTGTCTGGTTTCTTCTTATGATCGACTACAGCAAATACATTAACTACCGTGGAGATAATTTACCTGAGCATAAAATGGACTTATTTATTTTGTCACAGGGTGGACGAGGAAGCCGTGGGGGAAAACAAATGTCTGACAGGTGAGACAGCGTGTGGGTGTTTCTTCATTCTCACAGTAGCTCTAATGAATTATACAATAGAAGTATTGTCTTTATAGTTTCCACTTCTCTGTCTCTGCTATTCAGTAATAGCCCATCCCAGATAAACCTGCTGCTAGGCACCTGTTAGGTTTGTGGGGATGATTGCTGAGCCTAAGTGGAAATTTAGCTTCTCCCTCTGACTCCGTTTGTAAAGTGGCCATCGCAGACTTTATTGTGATACAGAAAAATACAAATGAAGAGCTACTGGTGACATATCTTACATTCCTGGGGTCCTAATGTAAGTTATGATGCATTTCTCTTTCTTTATATGCACATATATTTTCAGCACAGGTACAAAATATCACTGAATGTTTTAAAAAATCAAGAACCACTATTCCAACATTTACCAGTTAGAAATCCATGGTTAAAGAGGCAGACGCACACATTTCCTCACCCACAGTGACTTAATAGAGCAGAACGAAATGCAGCTACATGTTGAATTCTAAGTAGAGGGCTTTATTCAGCTTTGACTCACAGAGGTTACAATAGATTCACATAACAACCCAGTTTCATGCCGGGGGGTGGGACCTTTACTTGTCTAACCTTGCTTGTTTGTCTAGTATCACAGCTGGCCAAAGGCGGTGACCTGTCTAGTTAAAGTATATGCATATATTGCTTCCATTGTGATTCAAGAAAGAAAAAAATAGTGTATGAATTGTGATTAACTCATTATATTACACACCCATGTGTGGGGAATCAGTAGACGAGATGAGGCAGGTTTCATGAATGTTAGTGCTCTAAACACATTTTAAATTGCACTATTGTATCTGTATCAGTGTTGGAGTTTTCAAAAGCTGGTTTTCCTTTAGGCCCTTGACTGGTTAATGAGATTAATTAAATCTGAATGTGGATAGACATTTCATAATGATGTGAAAGACAAAACTATCCCCAGGTTTTCAGCCCTCAGTTAATGTTTCGTAATATTTGTTTGTCATTGCCAGACTGGAGGAGTTTATATATTTAGCTGTGATCATTTTATACTGCCAGATATAAATAAAATAGTAATTAAAGACAACCATTAAGTGGGAAAATGCTTCAAGAAAACTCACTGAAATTGTTGGAAAAGCCACTCGGTAATGTCAGTGTTTCATCTCGTGCATGCAGACAGACCATCGGAGCCAAGAGCAGAGTGTACGACAACAAAGGCCGACTGATCTCCAACAGCAAGGACATGTGCGACTGTCTGGATGAGGACTGTATGGGCTGCTTCTACCCCTGCCCCGAATGCGGCTCGCGCAAGTGTGGAGTGGAGTGCCGCTGCGACAGGAAGTGGCTTTACGAACAGGTGGAGGTGGAAGGTGGAGAGATCATCCGAAACAAGTTTGCCAGTTAGTTAGCAGTCACAGTACCAGGAAGTGTCTGGGGGATCAAAACACGCTCTTTCCCTGAACTCAGCTGCAAAGTTAGTCCGATGTACCTTTCAAAACTTTAAAAAAAAAAAAGAATCTTCCATTATGTTAACTGATATTTATCAGGTTTTGTAAAGTTCCTGCCCGTGGTAGAAAACTATGAAGAATAATGTAAGTATTCTGCTGAAGGCTGGATGTTAGTTTTGTCCTTTGTCTGTTGCGCTCTCCCGCAAATATGTTTGTGCGCTATTCTGTGTTAATAAACAGAGGGGGGAATAACTTGACTCAATGTTTTCAGTCTCAAGTGAAATCCCAAATTCCACTTTGTCCCATTGAGTTGCTTAATTTTGTGTATTTTAAAGACATTTCTAATGTTTGTTTTCTTACATAATAAGTAAAAGAAGAAAATATATAAGAAATCATATAAGTGGGAGAAAAACATTTCAGTCTTTGTTGTGATTGAGCTCTAAAACACTTCTATAGGTTTGACTTCTCTTTTGATATCTACACTCAAACGTCACATCTTCAGGGACTGCTGATCAGTCAGAACCGCTCAACTGAAACACTCTTACAGATAACAGTTAATCCAAGAGAAAGCATACTGGTTTTAGTGGTTAACATAAAGCAAGATCTCTGCAATACATTTCCAGTTCTTCTTCAGGAGCTTCTGTAAATTACTGAATTATTCTCTCTAAAGAAAGTGGTTCAAAGGTGAGGTCTTAACCTTTCTTACTGTCTAGTCTCACTGTATATCTGTCCAATGTTTAGTCATAGGCATGTGTAAGAGAAGTAATCCCTAAATCACAACATACCCTCCTTTTTTCACAGCTTAAAGTCATTATTCCATTAAGGCTCCTATAGAAAGCACTGTCAGTGTGATGTTATATTAAGGCCTTTTAACAAGTAAAGACATTAATGGGTCTGTGTGAGTCATCTCTATAATCCACCTATAAATCCCTTTTTAGTTTTCTAATTCGTTTTTATCTCCATTAGGTCATTTTTGCCTAATTATCACAGACTGGACACTAGAGGACCCATATTTTTACTTTCCCTGCACACTGACCAAAGGCAGTATGCAAGCAGCATGACTCAGCAGTTCATATTGCTGGCTAAAGGAAGAGTTGCTCAGACAGTAATGTCTCATTCATACACATCCTACTGTCCTTGAGCTCAGCTCTAGGTCAGGTATCATATAGTCGAGGGATGATTTGCCTCCATATTCTGTGCGCAGTGGCTGGAAAGCATGGTCCAAATCATGGTTCCAAATCTCAACTTTGACAAATTACAATGGTGGATATTAATGCAAATGAAATGCTATAGTCCTCATTGTCTTGGGGGATGTGATGAGCAGTCAGCTTTACCATAATATCACAAAAAAACTATGTTTTAATAAATCTAGGTGTGCTGTTTTGTTATTTTTGCTCTGTTTTCATTGCCGGCGTCCTCTTAATGCATTTTATAGCTCATTTGTAGAGGGCTACATATAAACGAAGCTTATTAATATTTATAAAACCTAGTCGATGAGAGCAGAGAGCGAGTCGATGCAAACAAGTCGTTCATCAAAGCAGCTGAAGTTTTGCTCCAAACTCAAATTTAATTCACTTTTAGTTAAAATAGTTTCTTAGTGGGGGCAGTACAGGAGATACTCCAGAACCAGATATCAGCCTTTAAATGACACATAGTGCCTTATACTAGCTGCTGGCAGGAATATTAAGCACATTAGTTATTGTTATGTTGATTTGAGGAAATTCCTTGTATTTGTAACTTTTCATCTAGCACCATTCAGCATTCATTTCTTTATGTATGGAGCACAAACAGAATATACAGTAATACGTTTCTATCATTTTTTTAACTGTGACACAGAGTGGGTATCTCAACATCTACTTGATGGATTGCCATGAAATCTCCTCCGGAAGAAATATCCTAATGACTTTGGTGATCCTAACTTTTCCTTTAGTGCCACCATGAGGTTCACATTTGTAGTTTTTAATGAAATATCTTGTGAATTATTGAGTAACTTGCTGTGAAATTTGATACAGATATTCATATTCCCCTCAGGACGAATTGTAATAACTGTAGCCATCCCATAACTGAAATGAGCACTATCATTAGGTCCAAATTTGAATCTGTCCACTACATTTAGAGACCAACTTTGTATAAAATGAATGACATTGATGTTAGCGTGCTGACATTTTCTCAAAGCACCTCTGTGCATTAATAGAGCCTCACAGAGCCACTAGCATGGCTGTGGTCTTGTTAATAGGCTACATAATTTTATTTGCTTACACAAAGCAGCCTGGTTGCCGTGGGAATGAATAAATTACTGTTTGTTTCAGAGGAGGGCTGCAGGTCTGATACATTTCAGTTTGGTGTGCCTCACTCATACCAGTAGTCTTACTGTTTATAATCACATTAATTAAATCCAAGCTGCCAAATTAGAGCAATAACAAAAATCATACAGAAACAAATGCAGGAAAGCACAGTTCAGCCAAGTAGCTTAAAACAGCTTTCTCTTGCAAATTCCTGTGGTACATATTCATGAGCCCTGAGTGCTTTTAACAGCCGTTAATAAAAGATAGTAGTGATAATATTGTGCTCTGGACCATGCCGTAACCTTCTTAAAAAATCTATTGTCCGTACTTTTTAGAAAATTCAGCTCAAGGCTGAATTCATCATGGCCTGACACAAAGCCATCCACTACATAACCATGTCCATTTCCTCCCTCCAGCAGAGCGACAGACTCGTCTATAAACTTGATAAAATGTCTATCTAAATATTGGCTGCGGCAGTCATTAGTGAGAGGAGAGCACAGACCTCCAGGGATGCACTGGATAAAAAACAAGCCACTGTTAAAGGACACCAATGACCTGAAAGGAGTGAAACCTGTCAGCATATCCAGCCTGCAGTGTTCACTTTGAACTGGTGATGTGTCAGAAGAGTTTGTGTAAGTGTGTGTGGAGTTAAAGGCTGAAACAAAATCTATGAACATGATGGTGAGAAGGTTGAAGGTTGACAGGGAAGAAATGGGGTTGTCGTAGTGACTGCAGCATAGGAAGTTGGATTGGTGAAGTTACGCAGTGGCCCCAAGTTACTGACGAAGCTACCTAATATGGATGGTGATTTTAATGTTATTAAAATTTTACATACTGGTGAGACATTTGGTAGGACAATAGCTGTAGAGAATCAGTTAAGAATTGCATTTAATCATCACAAACCAGTAAAAAAAAACGTAGTAAATATGAAACTCATTTTTATTATCATTAATGAATTAATCCCACGCATGCACGCAAACATTTTGGTTCTCTGCCTGGGGGAATCTGTGTAAAGTGTACGGTCTCAGACAGGGACACTCTTCATGAAGTAAAAGCTATGAATCCATGAATTGGATGAATTCCCGCTTGTTTTAATAAAAAAAGAATTTAGCCGACAGCATACATTTGATGACCGTGATGCTTTTGCATTACTGTGGCATGAAGGAAAGCGAAGGAAGGTACAAGGAAAAATAGAAGAGCAACTCTTCCTCAGGTGACTGAGAATGTCATTGCAGGATGTGATCAGACAGTTTCAGCAGAAATACAGTCCATTTACACAGAGGGATATTATAGTCGGGTCTGCATTGTATGAACCCCTCATTACAAAGATGAATGCACATTTGAGAGTTAAGTGGTGCATTCATAGGCACTGGCCTACATAAATGTGGAAAAGAGAGATATGGTTAGATGAGTCATCCTTCACCATATTCTCAACAAGTGGGCGAATGCATGTATGGTGAACACAGTACAGGCCTGAATGCTTTACCCTCACAGTGAGGGGATCTGATGGCTCTGTTGTGCTGTGGGGGCCATTTTGCTGGCATGGTTTGGGTCCATTTGATCCTTTAGAGGGAAAGCTCACTACAAATTAATATAAAGTCGTTCTGAGTGATCAGCTTTAACCTATGATGAGACATTTATATTCTGATAGGACTGGTCTCTTCCAGGATGACAATTCCCCCATTCATATAGGGATAGAGGGGTCACTGAGTAGATTGATGAGTATGAAAATGATGTGAATCATATGCTTTGGCCTTCACAGTCATTAGATCTCAAACCAATTAAACACCTATGGCAGATTTTGGACCGATGTGCTCGACAGTGCTCCACCATCATAAATCACCTAATGGGGGAATATATATAGGAAGAATGGTGTTCATCGGTGTAGAATCAATGCCAAGGCTAATTGTCCATAAAATCCATAAAATGGTAACAACAGTTTCCAAAAGTGACATCCTCAAATGTCTCATTTTGTCCCCAACGCAAAGATATTAAGTTTACTGTTCTAAAATCAGAGAATTTGTCTTGAAGTTGTTTCTTTTTTTTTAAATTACTCAAGATGATTAATTGATCATCAAAATAGTGGGCAATTAATTTAATAGTTAACAGCTAATCAATTATTTGACTAATTGCTGCAGCTCTAACAAACTCCATCACCTTACTAAGACATTTCAAGTTTTTATTTTAATTTGTGTTGGTTAAATGCTAACTTAACATGCTCTCAATGACAATTCTAACATGCTGATGTTTAGCATGTATAATGTTAACCATGTTCACAATCTTAGTTTAGCGTGTTAGCATGATAACTCACTAATTAGCACTAAGAACACAAGAACACAAAGAATAGCTGAGGCTGAAGGGAATGTCATTAGAGGTATTTGTTCATAAACAACAATTTAGCAATGGGCGGAAGTCATCAAATTAACCTGAACCTCTGGCGAGAAGCTGACGTTTTCACGTACAGGTTTGTTGCTTTATGAGCTGCTTATCTCTGAAACAACAGATTTCCTTGAAAGTTACTGGTCAGCCTCTGGCCAAAGAACGATTAATTAGAGGTCGGTATCAAGTTAGATATGGGATTCCCGTCATCTATGCCTTTTTTTAGCCATAACTATTAAACTAACAGAGATAACAAATATCGATTTCCAACTTTAGCTCTAGGGTTTGGGATCGATTAATTCAATTCGACCAAAGCTGTAAGTGGTAGAAATTATGTCTTTGGGGAGTTATTCAGCACTGGTGGAGGTTTGTGCCCTTCTAATGCCTTTTATTCGCCAATATTTCTAGATAAGGACTATATCGCTGTCAAGAACCACTTTATATCCATCTCCCTGAGATTCATTCACAGGTCACATATATACTCTGCCGGCTGTGTGCGTCAGGGTGCTTGTATTGAAATAAAAAATGTTGATGTTGTGATATAGTACAGGCTAACAGGCAGCGCTCTCAGACACACTACCTTCAGGCCACAGTCCATCTGTCATGCCTTCAAATACTCCTCCACTACAAGCAACTTGGGTCAGGTTCGCCTGTAGGGTCGGTCACTGCTCCATCTAGTCTCAACTCCTTTTTCCTTGCAGCCTCCAAACAAACTTTCTGTCTCAGAAATACTTCTCTCTGTCATATATATTTTCTTCCTGAACCTGCCACAATGTACTATCTGTAAAATTCCAACATCGGATTTCTTTTCAACCTCTTTTTCCACAATTTATCATTCTGCTCCATTACAAAGCATTAAATGAGCAAGCTCCAACCTCTCTCTTTTTCGACCTATTACAAGCAAACGCCCCCGTCCAGGTCACTCAGGACGGCTGACCCGATACTCCTTGTTCTAACAAGATCGAGGCTAAACACAGAGGAGATTGCGCCTTTGCAGCTGAAGCCTGAAGCCTGGAATGAGCTGCCTCTGCATGTTAGGCTGGCCCCCACATTGCCTGCTTTTAAATCCAATCTTAAAACACATTTTAAACTCACGATGAGTGTTACTTTGTTAAATATTATTGTTGTTTTAAATGTGCTTTTAAATAAAGTTGTATAGGATTATGTTGTATCATTAATCATTTCATTGATTGTCTCCCTTGTTAGGGCACTTTGGCTTTGACCTTTGCACTATGGCTGGTGGAAATATGGTTGAACACGTTTTCTACAGTTGTACAAATCTAAAACCATTCCAGATTAAGGCTCCAAATTAGATTTGATGGCAAAAATGTGGCAAAAAACACTGATTTCTGAAGTAACTCCAGTTTTTAAAAAGTTTCTAAACTTTCACAAAAAGACGATGTCACTATTCTATCCATTTCTTTGCCATATGTGTGCTATAATAGTCAATTTTACAAGCTATAAAAAAAATATGTCATCATTTGGAGCTGCTCTTTCTTTTTTCTCCTCCTTTTTCTCACATTTTATAAATAAACTGGGAAGCAACTAGTCCTTCTGCCCCCCTACAGGGTCAACACTGTCGTGCCTCAAAGCAAACATTAAATACTAAAATAAATCATGGCATGATGATTTTCCTAATGACATTCCTTCACTGCGCTAATGCTGATGACACTTTACACTTTTAGCCAGAATTAGACGCTGTCCACACTAAAAAAAGATCATGTTAGGGCAAAGCTAGGGCAAAGGTGCCAAGTCACAACACTGTATGTAGCAATTAACAGCATGTCTTGTTAATGAGTGAGTTCTCTGTCATTAGCAGGGGCCTCAAGGTATGTCCGGATTAATAAGATGTTACTCTAACAATATGCAGACACAGAAGCTGCTCCTGCTTTTGGCTCAAAACAAGCCTTTTCTGTTCTCTATCATAGAAACAGGGATAGTGTGCAGTGGACGTCAAGGGAGAAAGATGATTTATCATTCTTCTCATTTCTCTGCAAAGATGTTTATTAGTTCTGTCTTTGAAGAGCAGATCTGCAGAGAAACACTGATTTTACTGCTGGGGTTTGAGTGCTCATATTGAGTCCTCTTCAAGTTAAAACACACAATGAACGCCTGTTATATGTGGTAACTTCATGAGCGGTCACCTCCATTAACCAAAAAGAAATCTCTATTATTATGTTATATCTTGTTTGTTTAATGCCTTCAAAAAATGAAGAGTAAAAAGTTGTGGTTTTAGGAGGTTTTGTGCTGGACTACAGCTTTTTCCTAACTTTATGCTAAGCTAAGCATCTCCTGGCTGTAGGTTTATATTAAATGTACAAACAAGAGTAATATAGGTCCTCTAACATTTGGCTCTAAAGCGGAAAAATGTCAAATTATTCCTTTAATAACAGTACAGATCCTCAACACACACAGGGTCCTATTGCAAGAAAATGACCACCATCATATATTTGTTGATACAGTATTCATTACTCATGTTGCATAACATTATGCCCTTAACATTATCTTCGTGACATTGTATCCGCTACTCCCAAACAATGTATGGCATTGTAAGTACCATACAGAGTCCTGATGAGAGGAAGATTTTGCCTACTGAGCTATTTCTAAATTTAGTGTATCCTACTGAAGAGAGCCACTGATCAGCATATACTGCAAACTCTATATTTTCATTTCCACCTGTCAACAAAGAGGCGATCCAGGCTCTTTTTCTTATAGGATGACCTCCGGTTCTCAGCATGAAAACTTGAATCTCAGGATTATTGAATGTTAAGGGTCAGTGACTTTGGTCAGGAAAGTGTTGGTGTAACATTTCATCTCTCAGTCGGCCTTTATAACTTTGGAGTCACTCCGCTATCTCACTGGACAGTTTCTGACGCACTGACTTATGACATTTCCTCTATGTTGGCAAACAGAACAGAGGTTGAAATGTGCTGCTAATTATAACTGACAGCAATGTTGTACAAGACGCCAAAGGACACATTTAAAACATAACTTATGAATAAAAGACAAAACCCCAAAACTTAAGTGATACCTGTTTATTTTAGAAGTTATTTTTAATAACTAATGTAGGATAGATGACAGGTTTCTTTAAAAGGACAGACAGCTGGGTATGTCTTCAGGAAAACGCCCGCAGTCTGTGTTTTCTGTGTTACATGTGGTACACTCGCAGTTTCTGGCCACAGGGTAGGTGACACCCACTGGACACCCTTTAATGTGTTTCACCTCATAGGACCAGTCTCCGTTACAGATTCTCTGTTCAGGCCTCTCATAGTGGCTGATGTAGACCAGATCCTGCCATCGACACACAACAGTATGTGATTAAACACATGGACATAAATGCAACTAGGTGATAAAATGATAAACCATAACAAAAAAAGGTCTTTTCAGGACATTTTAAGTTTTAAATAAAAAATCTTTCCAGCAGCAGATAATTGTAAACTGCTGTCTTCTACCTGCATTCACGCAGATATAGAGGCAAAGCATGGTTTTAAATGGAGACAAAATTGTTGTCTAACCACTAAAACACATGAAAGTAATCTGTTATATTCTGCAATTGACAGGTCTTTTAATAAAAGAACTAAAACTTGACCACATCCCAACCTAACAGACGCTGAGAAAGGTTTGTTTACATCATACATTTTTGTAAATACAACAGTAAAGCTGGAGGCTATTTCAAGAAGCGTTTACAGAGTTCAGTAAAACATGCAGGTCTTTTTTGTTCTGTTTTTGCTTGTTCCTGTTTCACTCAGTAAAGTTGTCCAGATTATTTAGTAATTTTGTTTGGTTCTCTTCTCCCCAGTCAATTTTTTTATTTTGTTTAGTAGAGAAAGATAGAAAATGCTATATAAAAAAACGTTGTTAAAAAAAGTTGTAATTGTCTTGTTTGTGGTGTGGAACTTTGATAATCTGTTATATTGATATTGTTGTATTAAACTCAGTTGAGGGGCAATCAATTTAATCGAAAACTCCATAAATCTTATATAATATATACAGGAATCAATACAATACAGTAACTTTAAACACTAGTGCAGTATGAGCGAAAAAAATGCACAGGTTGGCACATAGCTCATTAGTTATTATAGAGGCAGTAGGAATCCTCGGTTACCTCGTGGTAGCACTGTCCTTCACATATGGTGGTGTAGATGACCTCGGTGAGGCCACAACTCTCCACTTGGATGCTGATGTTGGTTGGATGACAGCCGAAGCTGCAGCCCTGCCCCGCCCCCGCCAGCGCCAGCACTGCTACCATGACAACCAGCTGCATCCTCTGCTGGGTGCAGCACAGACGCCTGCCACAAGAGGGGATCAGGTCTCACATCAGATGCTTCAAAACCATGTCAGAACATGGGAATGTGGATTAAAGAGAGTCACTGTGTGATGTCACTTTGTGAAGCTTGTGGGTTAATAGTGGTCTTTGATTTACAGAAGATATTTATGTTTTGTTTGCATCTACTCCAAGAAGCTCTGCAATTACATGGACAAAATTAATAATCAGAATAGAATAATTATTATAGAATATAATCTGTCATAAAATATATAATAGAGAAGATACATTTCGATCAGAAAACTGTGGAAACAGGAATGGTCTTTTGGAGTGTCTCTATTATATATTATTAATATATATAATATAAATATATTATATAAACTTTCTACCAGGGCTTAGAGGTTGGGTTCATCTAAATGACACCTCTAGTTCTGGTTCTATTTAAGACATGTCTGAGATTTTGACCCAAATACTGAGGTGAATGAAATTTTGCATATGATACTCAAAGCTTTAAACAAAAATTACGTTTTAAAAATAATTCAACAACATGTCTTTTTGAAACAATATCCAACTCTGAAACTCGTGTGTGTGTGAAACTTGTGTATCAAATATGATACAAATGGCATTATAGCATTAATATGCTGTATTCACTATGTATGACTATTATTAATACAAAATTCAAATATGCTTTAACAACATCAGCAGAAAAGAGGTTGATTATGAATAATGAGAATGTCAGTGATCATTAACATTATTTTATAGACCTCTTGCAATTAAATTCCTCTATGCAGACATTTATCCTCACATATACCATTAACTATAATAGAATTATGGTTACCGGCATATACTTTACCTTTAAATTAACTTGATATGAGAGAATCTTCCCAGGTAGTGCTGAAACTGGTTCCTTTTCGTATAAACTTGACTGTTTTATCGTCTGTTTTAACAGAAAGTCAGTGTGTGTTAAAAGTTCAAATCAGTTGCTTAACTCTATATAATCTTTACAACAGAATAATTAACACATTTGCAGCAGTTTACTTACGTACTGTCAAGCTCTGCTGTTGCTTTGAACCTTGCTTCTTCTGTCAATCGCTAAACATCTGTAACAGCTTTCAACCTGTGACTGTCCCCTGTGTTACTTAAATAGTGAGGCTCATAAATCCTTTTAATCTATTCAACCTTGGACTCGGTGCTACTTTTCATACCTGTTTAGACTTAAACAAACCCTCATCTCTTTCCATCAACAGTTCAGGGGTGGCCCGTGGCTCAAGGCCTTTTTTTCTTCTCCACAATATTAAAACCATCTTCAGCCCCCACAGTGGAAACACTGACACAAGCATCAATAATTAATTTGCCATGCTCCATCTTCATTGCTTTCTGTAATTTCTGTGTATTAATGGCACATTGTTGTTGTATTTGCAGTGATTATATCATTTGATTAGTGATTATATACAAATATACATACATATACACACATTCACAATATACTGTGTATAACTTTCTTCAGCTTATTGAAAAATGTTTGATCACTTTTATATTTGAAGTAATCTCTGAAATGCATCTTTTTCTGAGGTAAAAGTTGTCCTTACTAGTTCATGATTGGGCAAAAGTGTGTGCTAGTAGACAAACTTGAGTGAGTTTTCATGAGTAAAACAAGGATTAACGAAGAAAACATAACATTTGAAAGTCCGTATTTGATTTCTCAAACCACTTAAAGACACTGTTTTTATGTAATTATTTCTTCTTTTAAATCATTAACCATGCATTGGTTTTTGTTTATTAAGAAATGAGACCATCCCACTGAATATTAGTACAGTCTATGGGTCTGATTTGGAGACATCAAGATACGAGTATCAAAAAAGAAAAGCACTGCCAGACCCCTACGGGATGCCAAAGCCAAAAAAGTTTCCCACAGTGGCTTTAAGTTTCATTCAGTGCAGTACAAAACGGATATATCAACGTCTACAACTGCAGGGAACCTCAATCTGTAAGAATAATCGATCTGTATGAATCATAAATGTACAACTATAGACTGCCTCCAAAATATTTTTTATAAACATGGTGCAATTTAATTAATTAAAGCCGTTACATAGAACATCCTCTTTCGGAGTATTATATTATTGCTTATCATGTTTTATTATTCATCACTTACGCATGCAATGTTGTAGCTGATCAATGTGTAGCTAAATTTCTCTACTGATGGACAGTTTAGTCCATAAAATGTTAAAGTTAAGTAAATGTAACTAAGTATATTTCCTCAAGTGCTGAGTACACATTTTCTTTTTATGCCACTTTGTCTACTCCACATTTACATTAGTTATTTTAATATATATCTTTAAGATCTCAACCAGCTCCAACAGTAAATCTCTGCTTTTATATTAATGCATGATAAACAGTTATCTGATTACATATAACAGTATGTCTGAATTGATTACTTTTACTTTTAATAACTTCAAGTAGATTTTCTTGATTATACACATTTTTACTGTTACCACTGTGTGGTATTAGTAATTTTACTTACATGAAGGATCTGAATACTTCCTCCATCTCTGGTTTAAAGTAACATATAACTAAGTAAAATCCCTCAAAATTGTACCTCACTACAGTACTTGAGTAAATGTTTTTTCCACCCCTTCCTGCCTCCCTTTTGTTTCATGCAGATAGAGCAGCCAAGGCTGCGACTGTGTGTTTTTGAGAAATTCTGTAGTCTGCTGCATTCAGTAAAAAGTTAGCACTGCACCACGAGCTGGACAGTCTGCAGTGACAGTAGAATATAAGTACTTGGGCAGCAGCCACGGTTCATCCAACTGCTGCTCCATCTGCCCTTGCAGCCACCAGGGACTCAGGTTCCCCAGGATCCTGCCGAACTGTCATACCTGCCTAACAAGGACTTCTATAGAGTTTCACCCTTCACTATTTCCTTTCGGAAACCTCAGCTGAAACACATCATTGTTAGCATGCATTTTGTCCTTAATGAACACTAGTCATAGCTTATTAATCTTGTATTCAGAGTAGAATACATCATTAGTCTTTTTCTGAGTAGTGTCAATAACAGACTGTAATTCATCCTGAAGTGAGCGCATCTGCACTGAAACCTGATTTATTAAGTATGAAGCTGAAACCATTACATCCACACATGCACTGCATTGATATGTTGACTGCATTAACACCTTCTTTTATTTACAAAAGGTAATTTAAGACTTTTAGGTTCATGTCAATATTTGGTCCTAAAAATAGCCTATTTGTGCTGCAGCAAGTTAAAAGAAAACAACACTACAGAAGCATTAAAATAGATGTCCGAGGGAGCATCTTATATCTCTCTCAGCCATAAGCCTGCTCTGTGATGTCCACTGGTAATCAATTTGGAAATGATGGACGAGGTGATGGTTTCAGTGCCCGGGATGATTTTCCGGTTCATAACTTGAAGCACTACTATAAAAGAAAGCTCATTTGGGTGTAAAAGCTCAAACAAGCTTTATATGAAGCCACACATAAAACAGCTCAGAGCCGTACATCTTGCTGACATCACAGATTTGAGTCATGGGTCATTGGTTTTGAGCTCTGGAAAGGAGTCCTCTCGCTTTTTTATCAACACACCATAAACACTGCCATAACAGGACTGACAGCATCCACAAACCCACTCAGTCACACCTTGCTCCCCTCTCTGCAGAGCCTCGCCTCCTCTGCCGCTTCCATCTGCTATGTACGGGTCCATGATCACTGTCAGCAATAGTACAGACTCCTTTATAATCATTGTGTCGCATGAAAAACAAAAACACTCACTGAGGCCCTGAACTCACCACATCACCCTACACTCACGTTTTCACCCTCTTTCCATCAGGTCTAAACAAAAACGCCTCCGCAGCGCTGCCAAGGACAAGACTTTTGTTTGGTGACTGTGCTGGATGTTTCTGTGTGCAGGCTGAGAGTGGACGTAGGTGGTAGGTGTGTTTATGTGTATCGACTGCTGATGATTCTCTGTCTTCTGTTCTCTACTTTCTCTGTTCCCTTTCCATTTTAATATCCAGTCTATTTTATTACTTTTATTAGCCCATCTGTGTTCTATTAAATATCTTGTGACCACATAATTAAGAACATACTTAACATACTTGCAGTTGTCTTATAAACTGTGTGCTGTCGCCAGGATAAAGAAAAAACAAAAACACATTTAAAGTAATTCTTCCAACACAATCCCACCTCAGGCAACAAGGAACTTGAACCTGAGGTGGGATGGGTCTGGCGGCCCCTGTCGGGCGGCCCCTGTGGACAAAAGCGGTAGTGTTTCTACCACCTTGTTTCATTGATTTCAAGGAAAATCCCATCGAATCCGACCCAGTGGCAGGCAATAAGAATAACTATATAGAAATAGCCAATTGTAATAGTCATCAATATATAACCAGTTAAAAATGTCTTGTACTACATTTAACTATCTCTCTACATTAGGGTCTACATTTTGCCTCTCACTGACAGGTGTGTAATTCTGGTGGATGCTTAATCCCTTTAATTAAAATTTTAATTTCTTTTTTAGTATTTAGGATATTTAATGACATATATGTGTAATATGTGACATAGTAAAACGTAGTAAACTCCTTCTGATAAAATGTTAAACATAAGTATATGTCACTTCACTCAGTGAATTAAAATATTTAATTAGGAATTTGTGTTGTGTGTGCATGTTATATGTATTTTGGTCTTGAAACTATAACAATTAATTAAACATTATATTTTACCGACTTTAAGTGCACCAAGATGATATGTTGTGTTATCCTTTTACAAAATGATGTTGTCCAAATTAATTGTAGTAAGGAATTTGGTATTAAAAATTGTTTGACGATAAGACACAGTTAATTGTTTTAAACATAAAGAGCAACTTAGTACTGTAAGGCAGATGACCACCCACCTAGAGCCGAAGGGTCTGTCCTAGGTTTTCTGCCTGTTAAAAAGGCATTTTTCCTTTGTCCCTGTCGCCAAGTGCTTGCTCGATGTGGTACTGTTGGGTCTCTGTAAAATGAGTTTCGGTCCTAGACCATGCTCTATTTGAGAAGTTGTCCTGAGATAACTTCCTGTTTATGGAATTGGCGCTATGACAATATAAAATTGAGAATTGATTGGAGAAATTGTAAGGGTTCTTATCGCAGCAGCCCGGGCCTTTGCTGCTGTCATGTCTTCCTCCTGTACTCCCAATAGCCATAATTCTTTTAAAAAGTACTCGCGAAATTCAGCATTTACTCTGAAAAAAGGATCCATATAAACCAAGAACTAGACAAATGTTTTTTTTTTATTTCATGCAAATCAAGGGCCAGTGGCTGGCAAATGAAAGTCAACACTTTAAGTAACTGCAGTTCTCAAACGGTCTCTTGGTGGCTGGCTGTGAGTCAATCTCCATATGGCCCTCATAGAAAATAAACACGTTTTAAACAGAGCCTCGTTACACAAAATTTTTGTCCTTTAAACCTAAAATTCCCTGTTCATGCAACTGTGCGGAGTGGAATTTTTAATAGAACATTTTCCTATAGAATTTAATTTCTAATTTTTTATATTTGACAAGGCGTTTTTGTTATGCATTAATGATAAATGCATGGATGCTTTGATTGACAAGGTGGGTGCTCCAACCGCGATTACACATCGTTTTCTTTTTTGGAAATTAGGCCGGGAGCCGAGCCGGAGTCACGGATGGCCTAGAACAACTGAGTTTATCACAACAGCTCTTTAGAAACCTATGGGTGACGTCTCCGACACCATTTTTAATTATACAGTCTATGGTCAAAACCTAGTGCCTACATTATCCACAGTGAAACTGTACCTGTAGCAGCTAATGTAGCCTCAAGCGGCTAGCCTCAAGTAGAGATGAAGAGCGGGATACAGAGGTCTGGTAACCCACTTCTTTGTAACTCCATACCCCCAGACTGTTTGTCATTTTCATCCTTGTAGTCTAAAG